GAAAGAAAGTGTAATATGCGAATTGGAAATAGATTTTAAAAAACTTTTTTTTGCAGTTTTAATCTCAGCAATGATGACATTTTACGTAAACATGAAATGTTGCATTTTGTGACCACCTCCAGGTCTGAAAACGGGGGTGGAAATGACATTTTTTGGTCTGAAATAGGGTCGGGATTTCGAGAACCGGGCGGCACACCCTCCCGGGCTGGCGGTTCTGTCTGGCAAGCGCCTAAATGAGCATGCTCGTACGAAGATGAAAAGCCCACTCAGGTGGTAAGTATTTATTTTAATAATCCTCTGGTAATACGAAAAGCTAACAAGAGAAATACAACTTTCTACTGCACAAATTTAGATCAGCTAATTACAAAAGAGAACATACATAAATTACGTCTTTCAGTTACTTTAATAGCGAATTTTTCCTGGAGATCAAGGTGCTGAATTAAATGCATTTAATTATTTAAGGTAGCAATGAGAGAAAAAAAAATGAAGAACTTTTTTCAGCAGTATTTATTTCTTACCCTGTCACCAGTTTGAAATGGAAAGTATATCGTTGGATGCGGTCGGTTTCTGCTCACGTGACACAGTACATTCCTTCTTGTCATTCTCTTGTCATGTGACTTGCGCTGCTCCTGTGCTTCATTAGACTCACCGCTGAACAAAAAGTTTTGAAATAATATACTACCGTTGGGCTTAATGTAGGTAGATGGTTGCATTATTTGGTGGTGTGGTAAAAAAGGTGAAATTGCGCAGGAAAACCTCGTTCTGTATTTTCTTTGAAAAGCCCTCATCAATTTGGTGCTGGTTAGAAGCTGACGCAAGCTCGAGGCATACAGCTTTTTCGAGATAGGTAGTCGAAAAACGTGCACGCGACAATCTCGAAAGGTAACATGCATAGCATATAATAAATACACTGTTACTGACACTGCAGCTGTCGAGCCTACTTTTGTTGCTTTCCTTTAGCACTCGCCAACATAAGTCCATAGCCTCTCGTGACATTCTTTCAAATTTCTTTGAAGAACAGTGAACTAAAAACCACCAACAATACCTTTCGGAATTGTCGCGTACACTTTTCCGACAACCTTTCTCGAAGTAGCTGTATAACTAAGACTGATTTGTCAAACAAGCAAAGGAAGAAAAAATATCAACCATATCCCGAACATTTGGTTGTTTATTACTAAGTGAACAGTCGCATACACGAATCAATACCCTCAGAGCAACTAAAAAGTTACTTCTGAACCTTGCAAGGAGCTTCATAATTAAAATTTTACAAATAAACTAATTCAAAACACGCTAGTGCTTCGTTGTAATGTATCATGAATTTTTAAGGGCTCCAAAGTTTTTCCAAACTACAAGACAATTGTTGCTGCATCACTGAGAAGTGGTCGACGATTAAATCACTGAAATGCATTAAAAAAATTCGCGAACAATTTTGTGTCCCTGTTCAAATGTCTTAAGACAAGAAAATTTCCTTCGTTCTAAGGTCATCTTTTAGACTAATTATAAGTCAAGTGATCATAATAGGAAAGCAGCCTGATCTCTTGACTGAGTCTATACACTGTACCGTGCGCTTGTGCTTGGCGGGGGACCGGCGCGCATCCAAACAACAGTTCTAAAGTACAACATGGACCCAGTGTTGCTATGGTACAGGAATGGTTTAGAACGTTCTGCAAACTTGGGTAATATTCTTACCAAAATTGACAAACTTACCCAAAGATGTTTGAGATCGGAGGCTTTCGTAAGGCATTTTCGAAGTAGTTCTTCAAGTTCTGTGGCAGACCGATTGGAATTTGTCGCGCTTTGGCCTCCTTGACTGCAAACAATAAAAATAGGACAATGAAGTGAACTGAACCTGCAGGTCTTCAACTAATAACTAGAACGGAAGTAATAAACTATTGCGAAAGCGACTGTCGTACCTGTAGTTGCCCAGTCTTTGTAAGGAGTACCTCTGCTAGTCGGCGACTTGATTTGGTACAAAGTTTCCCGCATTTTTAAAAGTTAGGAGTAAAAAAAATAACCCCAAGCAAAAGTTTTCTTAAAATGAGACCGGCTGTTGACAAAGGTACTCTGTTATATAAGCGAAAGGCTTCTTTGACGAACTTGCAAGGGCTAGTAAGAAATCGGCGTTACATTTATCGGCCTGACTTACACAATTTGACAAATTTTACAGTCTTTTGCAATACATATAGTCTCGCTCCATATAACCTCGGACTTAATCATTGAGTTTATGGTACTTAGTCTAAGTATTTGTTTAACCGATAAAGACATCTGTGAGGGTCATTGTTTGAGGGATTAACGCTTTCTGAAAAGGAGTAAATTAGCTTCTCTTACGGTCTGTTAACTCTTTTAGTAGACATCAGCAAAAAAGGATTTCAGCTTGGGCTTAGCTAAACGTAATTAGATATTTTACAAAATGACAGCTTTTGTCGGCTTCATTGCTAACAAGTCGATTGTCGAAATATTTTGATATACGCGGTACTCAGTTCGTAGCTGAATTTTTTGAGTCGTTAATGAAGTAGCAAACAACTTGTTTACAAGGTGATAATGAATGTTGTGAGGTTGTTTGCGCTGTACTTTATGTTTTTAACAGTTCTTTGAGAAACGTGCAGTTTATTAGCATACAGATTAAAGTGTTCTGGTTACACAAACACTCTTCACGGTTTCAGCAGTTTGGCAATTATGAGTCACGGTTAGTATAAACAAGAAAATACGCGCAATGGAAAATGTTTTGCCGTGATTTATTGCTTTAACTTTGGGGATTTACACTTTCTTTTCGTTTCCGGCCTTGGGTATACATTAGAAGTGAACAATCCGACACCCCACGTTGACGGGATATGGTTAACATAATTGCAATCCGTATTAAGCTTCTAACCAATCAAATAAAGCACCGTATACTACCACCTAAACTAAAAAAAAATCGCTTCCGACCAAGAAGTAATACTTTACCAACACCGAATGCGATCGTCATAACCCAACAGAAAGTTCAACAAAAACTAAGAGGTATTAACTAAGGTTTGTAAATCCTTTTAATAGTTTCTTAAAGTTTTTGTTAGCTAGAAGTTTTACTGAGAGACCTCCGTCTTTCCAAACTTTTTGTTTAATATGGCCATGTCCTGTCCAGTTAGTCTATATTCTCAAACAAATGTAAACTTGTATATCAAGCCGGAATTTAAGTTTGAAAACGCACCAAGAGAAATTTGCAGCCATTGGAGTGGAAAAGGGCTAGTCAAAAGGCAGGATTTATGTGCCCGATAAGCTCGAAAATCTCGGTCAATATCGAAGGAAAAAGAAGGCAGAAAAAATATAAAAAAAGTAAAAAAAGAGGAGACGAGAAGAAAAAGCAAAGGTTGCACTCTTGGTTTTTATATTGGCTGCATTAGGGATATATGCACTTGGTGGTAACGTTTTAAAAAATCAGTACAGCTGGATATATTTCACGCGCTCCATTTCGTCCTGTAAGGCGTCGTTTTAAAATGTAAACTTAGCAGGAAGTAAAGGCTGTGAAAAGAAGTGGATTGCTTCGGAACTAGCGAAGACAAGTGCACACAGGGAGTCCACCACGGTGCCCACTTCACTGCTCGAGTACAAGTTCTTGACCTTATTGTACTTGGGGACCGGCATCGTGCCCGAAGTTTGTATTGGGTACTTGTAAAAACGGTGTGTTCACATTACAGTGAGCAAGGAGTACCCTACGAAGACACCACTACCGGGCACCAAGTGTGGACACAGCCATAGTGAGCCGAGTAGCCGAGTTGTATACGCAAATTCCTTTCTAAATTCGCACTTTACTTAAGGAGACCTCGCTCAAATTAAGGTATAGACTTGTTTGTCAAGGAGTTTTAGGATGACATAACGTACGCTTCGTTTCAAAAACCGGCTCCTTAAACAGCTTCGGTAAAACTCAAAAAGGCGATTACTATTTATCCCTAAGAACGGTCAACAACTTTCTCAAGTGTTCCTCACTGAGGTGGAGTCAAGGATGGTCTTTGTAAGCCTTGTAAGTGGCTTGAAAATATGGCTATACTCGACATCTTTTGATCCTTGTAAGAGTGGATCGCATTGTATAACATGGGAGTATGTGGTGCGTGGGTAATAACACTATACGGTGCACAGTCGTTCAATAAAAACTGTTTTAAACAGAATTTCAGGTGATACGTTAGTGACATATATTTTCTACAACAAACTTCCACGGTTCTATACAACGAATCTTTAGCTCTTTCATAAATTTCACCATGCAATTTCCATGTTAGTTCGCCTTGTAAGCTGTTTGGTTTCTTAAAGTTTCGCCCTAGTCTGTTTGGCTTTTGGCAATGATTATCTTTGATGTTAGGCACGATTCATTTGACCATGTTGAGTTTTCTGCAGAGAACTGTTAGAATCACTTCTAGAAAAGCTTTCAATCGTGATTAATCTGTTGTCCAGTTTCATCTCTAAGCACCCGCAATCAAAGATAAATGTTAATGGAAATGTTTTGAAATAAGGACAAGCACAGTAACTGTCAAAGAAAGAAAATAATGTCTCAGGTTCATTTTATCCAGATAGGTTGTTGGTTTTTGCTTTTGTGAATGTCACAACTGAGTTTGTAAGAGTAGTAGCAAGACGTGATGACGTAAAGGCACTCAATAACTTCAAGTTAAAAGTTACATCAGTATTTTGTATTTGATTGAATCATACAAAAACTTCAAGAACAGGAGTGTGAAACTCTAAATATTTTACATGACGTTTCTCTAAACTAAGCGGTTTATTGTTTCCTCCTTGTTGTCTTTGGTTTCTTGTTCAGTCATTGAAAATGGATTGGTTGAAGTCTGTGTGGCCACACCCAGTAACCCTGAAAAAGATAAAGCAACTAGAACTAATTCTCTTTCACTGTCTCAATACCATTACACACAAAAAAAACGATTTACAAGATCATGGAATAAGAATAAAAAGAGGATAAGACGGCGACCGAAAATGGTGCTCATGAACGTATGCAGTTATGACAAGTTCTCATAAAAACGAAACAACTAGCCCTGCTAGCTATGTTGAGTTCTGCCTTCTGAGATCGTATTTTGATGTATTACAAAGTTAACGTTTTTACGTAGAATCAGTCTTGCATCTCTGGTTTTAATTTAATGTTAGCGTAGAGAAGCACCTCTGTTATATCAGAATATGAGAGGGCCACTGAACGAAAGTAGAGTTACTGTCGTCGCGGAAATCATTCTTGATCAGGTATTGTGTTGTGGTGTAGGTATTGCTCAAGTCCACCTCATTTGCTTATCATTTCCACAATCGCCACTGCCCAGTACTTCGAACAATTCAAAGAACAAATAATATCATGACGTCATATCGAGAAGAGATGCTCACCCTATTCGGGAAATTAAAGGCGTTTGTCATACTCTGGGGGTGGGGGTTATTTTTCCGCAGCGGGGACGTGGGAAGGGTCCCTTGTTTTGGGTCATTGCTCTTTCTGAAATTTGCCCTGTACGTCGATGTTCCAAATGGGTCCTTTGATGGATATTCGTATGGAAGAGGTCTGAAAGAAATGCATTCAGAAAAATAAATCATTAGTTTTGTCCAAGGTCGCCTGTAAAGGTTTACCATATACAATGATATTTTTCCCGCCCACGACCACCCAGATAAAGCCGGGGACCGCTCAGCACTGGTTATTAAAACTAATAATAGACGCACATTTTATGAAATAACTAAGTAGAAAACGTTATAAAGGGGAAAAAAACTAGGGGAAAAAGCTCTAAGCAAAATAATCAAAAAGAGCTAATTTTACCGATAAACAGAAGGCATGTTTTACCATAGCCTCCTCAGGCGTTCAAAAGTGGAGAATGGCTGTTTTTTCTAGCCCACATTTCTCTGCGACGTCCCCTCTGAACGCCTGGAAGAGGCTAGTTTTATTTCCAGTTAACGCGATTTTACAGAGTATTAGAAATTCCATTAACTGTAAAGAGAATGGGCACAAGCTGTAAGCGCAGCGATTTGTGGGATCTTTGGGTGGACAAGCGTTTGTTAGAATTGGTAGTTTGTATCCTAGGCAACCATTATCTAGACAACAACTAACGCTTATTTAACAGAACGATCCCACAAATCTTTGCGCCGGGACCTTGTACCCATTCTTCCCCTGGTTTTGGAGTGGCGAATTTTCGTTCCCGAGAATTTTGCATTTGAAATATGTGAAAAAATAACAAGGAGAGTCGTAACATCTGATTACAGGCCCAAGTACTGCTTACCTTCAGGCCCAAGTTGTTCTAAAGGTGGATTACTCTTTCCACTGGATAAATCTTAATCCGATATATAACACAACTGGCCTTCCTAGTACATGATTTGTACGTGATATCTGGCATAAATACCACTCGTGAATTTTCAAAATTGTCAAATTACGTATAACAATTTCGAAATATCACTGGTGGTATTTAGGCCAAATACTACTACAAATTACGCTATTACATATATAAATACCGCTATCCAACGTTAAAACAACCGAGGACAGAGCTCTAAGCCCTTCAGAGACTCCTTGAACATTTAGCTAATCAAAACCTACCATGTTCTTACACAGTGTAGTGACGAAGTGACTGCTAGGGTATTGGTGTTTTGAAATAGAGCTCAGTGTAGCTCAACATGTGATTTGGCAAGCACAATGTGACTTACTTGGCGCTGGGAGCAGGTGGTCCAAACGATCCTTGAAACTCTGTACTGTATTTACTCTCTGTACTTACTGTACGATGTCGCGAGTAGTTTATTGGAGCTGAAAAGCGATAGCAAATATAGTATATACTTAACTGAAACGTATTTATATTTTGCAATAGTTTCTCATCATAATCATCGTCATCATCATCATCATCATTGATAGTTTTGCTTTGCGTTTTTGTTTAGTCTGTTTCTTCGTTCTCATTTGTTTTCTTTTCTACTATGCATTACGTGCCGAAAAGACGTTATCGCAAAAACCCCCAATTTAGTTTACCTCCAAAAAAGACCCTTTGGTTATCTTTGGATATTCTTTGGCAGAGCAGACTATCAACCCTACCTAGCCGGCTAGAAAATGAGTAATTGACCGACAATTTATTTGCAATATAATGTGACATATCCATCGACTTGAAAAACGTGAGAGGGTATTGAAATACTCACGCAGGTTACCAGTTGACCTGTGTTTGAATGATTTCTGTGGAGTCACAGACTGGCCGATGAAGTCCTTTTGGTATGTTGATAGTATGGGAGTCGCTACAAAAGAAAAGTAACCAAGGCCTGAGAAAACAACGCCTTAGTATTATGTAACATTACTATTTGATCAAAGTCAACCGTTCAGCGTGTGCTTCATCGATAAACCGCAACCTCGTTTTTCCCCAAATTAGAGGGGAAACGCCCATACTGGGAACGAGGTTGTTATCGACCACTTCGTACAGGCAACCCCTGTTACTTCAAAATGGCTCTTGAACGTTAGGCGCTAAAGTTTTATTCATTCAAAACCTAAACCTAGCCCATTCACAGTAAAAACTGAGAAAACCTTCAGCTAGTTGTACGGTTCAACACCAGGGTTCTACCTAGGGTATTTGAGGGGTAGAAACTTCCCCTCAAACTGCCCAGCCTCCCCCTAAAAATATTGTTATCATTACAGTACAAAAGTAACTATATTGGAAAAATCATCCAGACGCGACGAGGTCAGTGTACACACTGTAACATCTCAAAATTGTGTCTCAAAATGCACCAGATTCCATCTCACCGCATAATTATTCATTTCAAATCAGCTAGACTCCCACGTGCTGGAAGGTATTATTTTCGGTTTGAAAAAAGACTTTTCGGCGTGTAAACCCATAAAGTTCAGTTCTTTGGCACAATTTCAGATTATCAAGAGATTATTAAAAGTAACATAAACATAAATATATTTCAAGTATTTACATGTAGATGCCGAAGAGTCACATCTGAGTTCGCATACAGTGTGTACGTTAGTTATAGAATTATACATATATATGGTAAGTCAGTTATTTACCTATAGGAGGTAGATATCTCCCGCCTTGAAAAGGCATGTCACATGGTACTGTACACAGCAAGCAATCCAAACTGTTTCCAACAATCAACTTCCTGGTTCAAGAGTCCATCTAGTGAATAAAACATTCATGAATCAAATTGTACATTTACTTCTGCAACTAATAAACTGCTATACATATGTAAAAGCATATAGAATCAATAACTTCTTGCCGTGATATTAGATGTAACGACTATAATGTTTTGGTGAAGCATGGGAAGTCCTAAAGGTTCGCATCCAAAAACCTTTCTTAGCAAGCCAGTTTTAAAGAATAAGAAGAGATCCAAAGAAAGTTACTAACGTTGCTCAGTTTTCTCGTGAAAAATACTTTACAAGTTAAGTATACAATATAAGAAGTGTTAACTTGTTTTCGACTTATTTAAGAAGTTGTTATCACTTCAATCCAGTATGTACAATATCAAGCCTTTGTTTTCAGTGTTAGCGTACAGGCAACCCCTGTTACTTCAAAATGGCTCTTGAACGTTAGGCGCTAAAGTTTTATTCATTCAAAACCTAAACCTAGCCCATTCACAGTAAAAACTGAGAAAACCTTCAGCTAGTTGTACGGTTCAACACTAGGGTTCCATCTAGGGTATTTGAGGGGTAGAAACTTCCCCCCAAAATGCCCAGCCTCCCCCTAAAAATATTGTTATCATTACAGTACAAAAGTAACTATATTGGAAAAATCATCCAGACGCGACGAGGTCAGTGTACACACTGTAACATTTCTCAAAATTGTGTCCCAAAATGCGCCAGATTCCATCTCACCGCATAATTATTCATTTCAAAACGGCTAGACTCCCACGCGCTGGAAGGTGTTATTTTCGGTTTGAAAAAAGACTTTTCGGCGTGTCAAGCCATAAAGTTTAGTTCTTTGGCACAATTTCAGATTATCAAGAGATTATTAAAAGTATCATAAACATAAATATATTTCAAGTATTTACATGTAGATGCCGAAGAGTCACATCTGAGTTCGCATACAGTGTGTACGTTAGTTATAGAATTATACATATATATAGTAAGTCAGTTATTTACCTATAGGAGGTAGATATCTCCCGCCTTGAAAAGGCATGTCACATGGTACTGTACACAGCAAGCAATCCAAACTGTTTCCAACAATCAACTTCCTTGTTCAAGAGTCCATCTAGTGAATAAAACATTCATGATCCTGATCAGAGATGAATCAAATTGTAAATTTACTTCTGCAACTAATAAACTGCTGTACATATGTAAAAGCATATAGAATCAATAACTTCTTCAGGGGCACCCAACGACAATTTTTCGGAAAATTATCTGTTCGGAAGACGATTCGAGGTCCAGAATTTTCGGATCATTTTCTAAAAAATTTCTTGCTTGCCTGCCTCTCCTAGGATTTTCGAACTTCAAAAAAATCGTATAATTGCCCATTTTTAACGGATTTTTCCCCTAAAAAGGTCACCTAGAATTTTCGGGAGCCTTTTTTCTGGCTGAAATTTTCCAAAAGGTAAATTTTGATCCCTATAATTTTCGGATCACTATACTTTCAGCTAGGAAATCCGAACAGATGAAAAATTTTTAGGGGATAAAAATAAGCCTTCATCTACCGTTTAAATACTAAAGTACGTTCAACAATGCTATGTTTATGTGGTTTTGAACTATATTCTCGTTGGGTGCCCCTGCTTCTTGCTGTGATATTAGATGTAACGACTATAATGTTTTGGTGAAGCATGGGAAGTCCTAGAGGTTCGCATCCAAAAACCTTTTTAGTAAGCCAGTTTTAAAGAACAAGAAGAGATCCAAAGAAAGTTACTAACGTTGCTCAGTTTTCTCGTGAAAATACTTTACAAGTTAAGTAATACAATATAAGAAGTGTTAACTTGTTTTCGACTTATTTAAGAAGTTGTTATCACTTCAATCCAGTATGTACAATATCAAGCCTTTGTTTTCAGTGTTAGCGTTATGCTTAGATGTCGCTAATCAAAGAACACTACTACAAAATACGCTGTTAGGGAAAACAGGATCAACAAAAGTCAAACTCTTTTAAAGCAAAACTCGCTCACCTGAATTTCAAATACCGGTATTTTTGAGGCACGTAGCAGGTAGCTTACGTTTATCGTTTCATTGTCGTCGTTTCCACGGTTTCCTAGAACAAACGGCTAATTCCCCTGATAAACGTGTAACTCTGATTGGTTATCTAATGATCTTTTCACTTATCCAACAAAAGATGTGCGTCGTTCCGATCTGTTTGAAAAAGTCAATTCAGGGACCCTTCTTTTCCCAATAAAGAAACTTTACTCAAAAGTAGAATGTTAAAGGACCTTCTTTAAAAGTTTCCTCAGAATGATCACAAGTTTACAACCACACATAACTCGTTTTAATGATTGAGTCTCAGTGAGTGAAAAATTAACACTAAACGCAAAATTTTTCACTGTCAAATGTGTAAATAAAATTAGTTATGTCTGTCTCAAGACTAAACTAACAACAACAACAACAACAAAAAAACAAGGCTTTCTAACTCAAATTCATCTGAATCCCTCATTAAGGCTGGAGAATTCAGGATAAAATGTAAGCAAACTCAGAAGATTTCAAAATTCAGAGCGCAGTGGACCCGCGCGCAAACGTCCACTTAACATGTGCATTATTTGGCAATTCCTTTAAGAAAAAGGCAAACAGAGTTAAACCAATATTTACAAGTTTATTGACTTTATTGCTTCTCACCCTGGGGAACAAAAAACAATGTATTTGGCGTGTTGTTTGCACAGTACTCTTCAAACGCTTGAAATGTGTACTTGCACACAAAAGACGAGATTACGTGTGCAAACCAATTAAGTCTCTGTATAAACTACTTTACTGGCGTCAGGATATAATTATCATTCAACAAGTGCAATACACGATTCATTTACAGACTTCGTATTCAGTGCTGAAATTAATGCACCTCACTGAGTTACAGAGTTTACTTTGTTACTTTTGTAGCCGTTTTAGCGTGGGGAGGAGCGTTGCGTGACGACACTTAAAACGGCTGTGAATCGCGGTCCGGTGAAGCAGACTAGCGGTCACGGACTCACGGTTGCTTATCCAGTTTTTCCGCGCTTTCTAACCCGGTCCATATATGATTTGAGCTCTCAACGCATTTCATATTGCTGACTTTGCTTTTGAAAAAATTGCCACCGTTTTAAAAGCAAAGATTCTTGTTTGCTTATTCTTATGTCACGAACAAAAAATTGAGTCGGGTATTGCTCATCAACAGCAAAAGAAAATATTACTTTTTACATTTTGTCCTACAACTAAGTTGCACGAGCTCATTAAAAAAGTATAAAAATATCGTTGTCATCTTTGAAGATGTAATATACCATTGGCTCCGCTGTGACTTGACATGGGTACGTCTGGTAACAAATAAAAAAAGGAAAGAAAAAAAGCGTTAGTTCTAAGGTGGTTAAAACATTTATCATACATTGCCTGTACATTGCCATTATTCACATTTCTTTCATGAAACCATTGATTAAGCGCTTAATAAAGATGTGGCTCTATTTTCATTTTATTTCATTTCTTTCCCCTTATCAGTTGCCTGTCCCCGTATTAAACGTTGTTATGAAAAATATAATGTGTAAGTTGCGATATCTATAACCAGAGGCAATTATAACTGACATAACTGAGGGTCACGCATTTCAATACTTTTTTTTCAGTCACCTCAGATAGGAAGTTTATAGACTTTATATCCACGCGTGAGAAAGAACTGAAGAACATATACACACACTACTCACCTTGGACAGGAAGAACATAATCCTGTTGATAAATGGACCGTGTCTTATCTTGGCACACTAGCTTAAGGAGCTCGGAGCTGTTGGATCCTTCTAGGGTATGTGTTTGACGGCCCACTGGAGGTAACTTCTGGTAATGAGACCATACGAAATAGTCCTAAGAAGAGAGGCAAATTGGTCAGTTGGTAACCGTTGCTGTAAAAGCTGTTTTGACAATTTCTGCTCGCTAGAATTAGTAAGTGTTGATGTGACGTAGCGGATGAAAATCTGTTTGATTACACGTTAACAGCTGTAGGACTGGAAAAAGCTGCTTTTCAATGCGGAGTCAAGGCTCGGTTGCATAAAACGGTAGGTACTGTCTTGGCCCAGTTGTTCAAAGGCCGCGCTTTTAGCGCTAACCCGGGGGTTAAATTGGGATTCGGTTTTCTTTCTCTGTGTCCAAAGGCCTTTTCTAGGATAATTGTCTCTATTCTTTTTAGAGCATCCAATCATCAAGACAAAGGAATCACTGACACTAAATTTGCTTTTTAAGCTTTCATATCTGAACTCAAATTTCGCACTAAACCTGGGTTTTCAATTCTTAAACCCAACTTTGACCAGCACGGTCTTGGAAGAAAAACCTTCTGTTTCGAAGCCCCCGTAATCTTTTAAAAGCCGACTTTTAATGCAACGAGGCCAAGGAGGAAAAAATGAAAAATCGAAACCAAGAGAGGATAAAGCTCTCTTGTCGTCACGAACAAAAAATTGAGTCGAGCATTGCTTATCAACACCAAAAGAAAATGTTACTTTTTCCTCTCTTGTCAAAACGGATTAAGTTTTGACTTACTTTTGCTGGATGGTTGAACACTTTTTCCATGTTGTGAGGATGAGGGTTGTTGTTCCGATATCCTGAGGAAGTGCCAAAAGGCACCTTTATCCGAGGCTTACTATGATGACTCGGATAATGGGTCCTGTAAGTAGAGTTCACGGCTGGTTGTCCAGGTGGATAAAAGCGGGATGTTCGTACTCTGAAGAGGCACAATACAATGTAATGTTAATGAAAACAAAGCTTAACGGAAGAAAACCCTCCCCAGTAGACATTTTCACTCAGTATGGCCTGGATCATAGCCTTTACACCTCCCCTAACACCAACGTCTCCCTTAGGGAAAAATGTCGTATTAGGGGAGGGGTAGGTGCAAGTCCTGGTGAATCTGTTGGACAAAATATTTGTCTAGGGAGGGGTAGGATCCGAAGCAATCATGAACACGGAAAAAGTTTTTTTTTATTTTGGAGCGATGTCTTTGAATAAACGATGTTGTGTTTTCAAAGTAAAATTTCCCCGCTAAAAAGAAATAATTATTAAAAAAAAAACTCTGCCTGGCTGTGAAGCAACGTAGCATTGAAAGAGTTGAAAGTTTCCGCGATTTCCAGCTGAACGCCTGTGACAAACACCTCCTTGCGCACTTGCGCGCGTATCTTTACACGCAGGATTTTCTCGCGCGTTTTTCTCGTGCCAAAAGGACTGTGTGGACGTGGTACCTTGCGTTTGGAGCAGGTTGTCCAAAGGTTCCCGTATATTCCTTGGTGTATGTAGTCACAAAAGCAGATGAAACCACCTGAATATCCTGTGAATCTACAGATGGTGAAAAAAATAATAGAAATAAATATTGATAAAAAACACGATTAACTTATTTTCTTAAAAGCAGCTTGACGACGGCAAGATAAGCTAGCTTAATTTCCTCCCTTTTCATATTCTTTTAAGAACCTTTTCTTTCAGTATAAGAAAAAAAATCATTATTGTGCTAAAGACATTTTGGCAGGAAAATAAAGTTGTGCAAATCAACGCAAAATAAATTGTTGCATATTACTGTTATTACAATTCAACAAAGCTCATTTGGTCGAGCTCTTATAAGCAGCTTGCTACAAGATCCCCACGGCGCAACAAAGTTATAAACGAGCTGAATGAATTGCTACAAAATAAAAGCAAGATTTAATTCCTGCATAGGTTATGTTAATTTGAACTGCTAGAAAACCCTTGTCGTTTTTTTGTCTCCCTGACCTTACGACCTACTAAACTCCATACAACTGATCCTAAAAACTCTTAATATTAAAAACATACAAAGGGATAAACGAGACATCGCAACTTACTTGCATCCGAAGTTGTGAAGCTCCTCATGACGAAAGCTGCGATAACCCTCGCCGATGAATAAAACAGCACGCTCTGAAACGCGTACTTCGTCTAACGATAGTACTCTTTGTACCCTTCTAAAGTTGGTTCTATAATAGCACGCCGATTGTGTCAAGAGGTGAAAAAACTGTTTTTCACATAGGAAGTAAATATATTTTGGTCAAAGGGAAGCAGCTGAACTCCTGTTGCTAGGTTAGTTTCGTATTCCACTAAACTTTGTTGTCATGCTGTACAGGGCATTTCTATAAGTGGCTGTTAAGTATATTCGTCCTGGCATGCGGTGTATAAACAATACTAACAAAGAAATGGATTACACCATTGTTTTTGTTGTCGGACTAAACAAAACACACCTTGTGGGGTGGTGTACACAATCAATAAAGGAATGAATATATAAGCGTCAGTTTAGTTCATTAGTTAGCGAGAAAGACACCAGTCTTACTTTAAAGAATACCTGCCTTCTATCTTAATCTAGTGTTAAATGTCTTCAACAAGCTTGTACTCCCCTTTAAAAAAAAAACCACCAAGCGGAAGAGTATTTCTCAGAAGCGTTTATCAAACCTCGTCAACAGACTACTTAAATATTTACACGATTGGAGAAAAAAAAAATGACGAACAGAAGTAAAGTATTAGATGAAATCTTGTTAAAAGGCCGATGCTCGTGTGGCGGTTTTTTTTTCTGTAACAAGTAACCAAGACGCAAAATTTTAGTAAGTACATTGTATTGCATTCTCTTTCTTCTTTTTTTTTAAAAATGTAAATAACATAAAAACTGGTTACACTATTGTTTATTATTTGATTCTTTTATTACATTTAAAGCACACCCTCTAAGAAACCGATTAGTTGCCAAGAAAGGTAGCACTTTTTAAATAAATACTAAACTAGGTATTTACACAATCTTTTTACAGCCGAAGTCACATGAAATGGAAAATGAAATAGGGCCACGATGATGTCTATTATTTTTTTAGCTGCAAACTACATGATCATTTATCAGTGACGGTTAAAGGTGTAGTAGCTTTCCACCTCCACCATTTGACAACTTCGGACAGGATGTGACAACTTCTCGTATATCACAGTTAATAAAATAATAGTGGAGAACATTACTTAATTATTGTCCATCGGATCGAGAAATTCTTCAAAGATCTATTGCAAAAAAGTTCGATGCTGTGAAAAAAAACTTAATTTGATTTTTGGCATTAGATGCCTTGAGCAGCTTTTTTTATGCCGAGAATGACAACGCAAACAGTATTTTTTTTTTTTTGCGGAGAGGAAACAGTGGCCGTTTTTATGCTAGAGACGTTAAAGTCGTCTTAAGACGACTTTAACGTCTAGTATATAAACGGTAAATAAGGCAGACGACTTTAACGTCTCAGACGTTAAATGCGTCTAGACGACTTTAACGTCTCTACGGCTAGTGTCTTTATGGAATGCAGTAAATTATTGCAGGAAAAACAGGTTTCACGGAGACCCGTTTGCTGCACATTATTGCGCCGGGTAAACGACACAACGCTAGATGTCGTAGATGCAGGAAAGTGTGGCGGGAAACAACTGGAACCTGCAAATTCAAGGTTAAACCACGTGACGGCTTTCTAGTCTTGTGATTGGACGTATCCACAAAATAGCCTTGGCTACTGCTTGACAAACAATACATACTGTATTAAAGCGACCGCGTTAAGAGTTGAGATGTCTGCCAGCACCGTCTATGAAGAGAAAATTATTAATAACATCATTAAAGTCATCGTTTAAAACTGCCATTTGCTACTTTATTTATATACTTAGGTTTGCCAAATCTGGCAGGGTCACCGCAACAGCGCATGACGCCAATTACTGCGGGCACGTAACAGTCCCTTCCCCATGAGAGATAGACCACCACACCAAGGTCTACGTCCCCTATTCCAGCTTTACGAACAGTGCGTGGGTTCTTTAACGTCCTACAGAATTTATATGAGCAACGGTTNTTTTTTTTTTTTTGCGGAGAGGAAACAGTGGCCGTTTTTATGCTAGAGACGTTAAAGTCGTCTTAAGACGACTTTAACGTCTAGTATAAAAACGGTAAATAAGGCAGACGACTTTAACGTCTTCTGTTAAGTGCGTCCGAACGACGCACTTAACAGACGACTTTAACGTCTCAGACGTTAAATGCGTCTAGACGACTTTAACGTCTCTACGGCCAGTGTCTTTATGGAATGCAGTAAATTATTGCAGGAAAAACAGGTTTCACGGAGACCCGTTTGCTGCACATTATTGCGCCGGGTAAACGACACAACGCTAGATGTCGTAGATGCAGGAAAGTGTGGCGGGAAACAACTGGAACCTGCAAATTCAAGGTTAAACCACGTGACGGCTTTCTAGTCTTGTGATTGGACGTATCCACAAAATAGCCTTGGCTACTGCTTGACAAACAATACATACTGTATTAAAGCGACCGCGTTAAGAGTTGAGATGTCTGCCAGCACCGTCTATGAAGAGAAAATTATTAATAACATCATTAAAGTCATCGTTTAAAACTGCCATTTGCTACTTTATTTATATACTTAGGTTTGCCAAATCTGGCAGGGTCACCGCAACAGCGCATGACGCCAATTACTGCGGGCACGTAACAGTCCCTTCCCCATGAGAGATAGACCACCACACCAAGGTCTACGTCCCCTATTCCAGCTTTACGAACAGTGCGTGGGTTCTTTAACGTCCTACAGAATTTATATGAGCAACGGTTGTGAGACAGGGCCTACGGTTTATAGTCCTTATCAAAGAGGACTAGAAAGTCTCAGTTTGCAGATGTCATAACAAGGCAGCACTTTCGACACAGTTATTTAAAAACCCTGAGTGTTGGTCCGGCCGGGGTTTGAACTCCAACTGAGCTAACAGAACAGTCTATAAGGGACTGTTAACATGGAGTTGGGCACCCCACGTAGGTGAGGTAACCCGCTTAGCTGGGGTAACTCACCTTTCCATATTATCTCTCATTTTAATTTGATCACGTTTACATGATAGGTGGGGTGACCCGCCGCATGTTACCTCACCTATCTGGCTTCCCCTCCTCCATGTAAACAAGTATCTAATTTACGACCCAATAGACCTTATTCACGATACCCGCCATCTCTTCCCGCTCTTTAGGATGGAAGGGATAAAAGTAATGTCATGTGGTATTTCAGGGAGAAAGCAAGCGATAAAATCTGCCAATACGAGAAATCGCGGAAAAGTGTTTTTTTGTTTTCTTAAAAAGATGCGACAATTTCAGTCTTGCAAAATTCATGGCAGTTCGAGTTTCGACAAGTTACGGCTTTTTCCTTGCTATGAGGACATCTAGGCCGTCGCTACTGCATCCATACAAGTAACAATGATCATTTCCACCCATAATTTGTCTTCATCGTCTTTCAGGTAATAAGGTCTCCATTTTCCGATGTCTACCGCACTAAACAAACTCGACCGCGATTTCTTGTATTGACAGATTTTATCACTTGTTTGCCCCTTGAGAAACCACGTGACATTGCTTTTATTCCATTGGTCCTTAAGCGCGTGCAAAAATGGCGGGTATCGTTAATAAGGTGTGATTTGCGTCTCTTTGCGTCCTAGTTTTAGCCTCCAATCCAGTTGTATTTTTGGGCGAGCTAAAGCCGCTGGTTTATGTTCTTAATGAGGTGGCCGCCAGCCATCTTTAATTTCATTCAAAACATTCACGCACCCAAGAAACGCATACAATGCGAAGTGTCTACAATTAACACGTTCCGTTTTAAACAAATATTAACAAAATGACAATAACAACAATAATAATGACAATAATAATAATGCAAGGCTCAAAATAACAGCCGACCAGCGGGACAATGTCCGGCCAAGATGAGGTCAGATGACCATTTGTCCGGACAAACTTTCAGTTGGCCTGGTCACCTTGACTGGTCAAGTGCATGGCTTTCAAGTAAATACCCGGGAAAATAGATTTATTCACATTAATTCTGGTAAATCACAAAAACAGTTAAATCATAAAATATTTTAGCCGCTTGCAGTTATAAATCCGTCTGACGATCACACTCTGTGGTTTTGTGAATTTGACTGGTCAGGAACGAGCCAAGACCGAGCTTAAACTTGTTATGGTGGTCAACATGACCGGCCACTATCCAAAAATTATTTTGAACACTGTAATGAAAATAATAAGAGTATAATAAAACTTATTCTTTCGGAGGGAAAATGGAGAGAGGGAATGGGAGGGAATGGGTATTCTTTTCCACATTTTTTACTCATGCAAAGGAATAAAGCAAAGAGGTATTTTTTTCAGTATGATTAATAAAACGATAAGACCACAAACCTGGGCTGCCTGTAGGTTAGTGACCTCTAGCAGATTTGTCCGACGGTAAGACAAGATCGCCATCGCCAGAACTGGAAACAAGTAAACAAAACAACGAAAAACGAAATTTCGTGAAATCATTCCGTAACTGTCGCAATTTTGCGGTCTCCCTAGGAAACCGA